GCTGGAAAGTTGGGATTTTCTTCCAACACTCCATCGGCCGAGGCAGTAAGGGCCTTCCTGGCCTTAGGGTCGAAAATGGGAGCTGCCACATTGGATGCAAGTGCAGCTTTCTTGCATTCCACGCTCCCAAAGAACGAACGAGCCTTGGTAAGATTACCAGCCGATGTATCTTTCCATCCAACAGAATATGAACCTGTCTACGCCGACCTCTACCAAGCTCTCAATGGACTACGCTGTGCCAGCCGTGCGTGGCTGAATATGGTTCGGGAAGCAACCTCCGAACATGGTTTGATGGCCTCTCCAACAGAATCTTCAGTGTTTGCAGGGAATTTTCAAGATTCCGATGGGACTTCGATGTGGATGGCAATTTTGTGCTATGTTGACGATTTGCTTGTGGCGTCGCCGGACCCCAGAGCTCCCGAAGCAGTTCAACGTATGTTGAAAACCAAGGTTTCAAAGGTGAAAATCACCGGGCAAATACCACCGCAGGGTTCAGGCAAGTTGGAATTTCTTGGTAGAGAGATTGTTAGAGGTGAGTCAATGGATTGCCTCAAGGTTCGAGTTACTCCGGAATATCTCCATGATTTGACCAAGGACCTCAAGGCCACCAGCATTCCTCCAAACCTTGATAAGCTTGCTGAAAATGATGATTCCGCAGTGCTGGATGAAGACGCTGCACATCGATATCGGGCCAACTTAGGCCGTTTCTTATGGTGGTGCCAAACAAGAAGTGATTTTCTTCGTTATGCAGCGATACTTTCAATGAAACAGCAGAACCCGACCATTGCCTTTGAGAAAGCTTTGAACAAGGTGCTTAGGTATGCCAAGTCGAGTTTGCATTGTTTTCAAGAATTCCGCTGGAATGATGGTTTGGGCGTTGTGACGTACGCCGATGCTTCGTGGGGGGCCCGTTCAGTGACTGGATTTGTGATTACATGGCACGGATGCGCCATAAAATGTGCCAGCCGTCAGCAAGCCTCCAAGAGTTTGAGTTCATGTGAATCAGAGTTGATTTCACTGACAGTTGCTTCGCAAGAAACACTTGGTTTGTGCAAGTTTTTTCGATTTCTGGAATCTGAAAACCCAGAAGTGTACCTTTCCACCATTGAAGATTTCATGCAGCGAGATGTGGAAGAGTTGGATGATAGTTTGCAGTTTGAACTGGTAACTGATGCGATGAGTGCGTATCAAGTTTTGATTGGAGATGGCTTCAGTCGTCGAGTCAGGCACTTGGATATCGGTGTTGGTTTTCTCCAGCGACTTGTGCAGCTGGGAATTTTGTGTCCAAGATGGGTTAGCACGAACCAACAGCTTGCAGATCTTCTCACAAAGTGCCTGGGAAAAGAAAAGTTTGAGCAGTTCAGACGTGAGATAGGGATTGTTGAGTCCACTGAACCTGAAAGCTGGCAGTTTGCAGCTTTGATGCCTGGTCCCAAGAGATGTTCCGATCAGCCTTCATTTGCATGTTCTCTCAAACATATTGACGGATTTGTGACTGAGATGGTTGCATGGCAAACGGATGTGCTGATTTTGGATTTATGTTCTGAAGAAGGTTTCAAACACCTCCATGGAAAGACCATCGACCAGAAAACATGCTATGTTGTGCAGTCAACCCAGCATAGGTATAGCTTGCCTGGAGCTGTTTCGTTTTTCCAAAAGCTGATTCATGCCGCCAGAAAGCAGTTGCCCGAACTGCAGGTTTTAGGATGGTTTAGTCCTCCGTGCACAGGTGGTTCTCCGATGCAGCACCTGTGTCCCACCAACAAAGATGAACGGATTGAAAATCTGTGGCAAGAGTTTTTGGTTTTTCTCAAAGCCGGTCGAGAGATTTTGAAGCTTTGTGACTTGCGTGGTATGGAACTTTCTCTGTATTGCAGTTTTTGGAGAAGACATGATGTCATGCAGTTTGTTTCAGACTTGTGCCCGTACATGTCAAGTCATGATCGATGCAGGTTCGAAAGTCAGAAGCTCAGTCAAGCCAGACACAGCTATAGATGTCAAACATCTTGCCCAGTGACCCCGACACGTTGCAAGTGCCAAAAACCGCACATGGCACTCAATTCACAAAGTCTTCATGAGTATGGTTGGTATCCACGGGGTCTTACTAAGCACTTGATCAGGGAATTCATAAGGTATATGTAGACCGAAGCCGTTTTCTGGAAACCAGACAGCTTGTCTCAATGCCTGGTCATTTGGACCGTGCCGAATCGTTTTTTGTCTTCATGGACGGAATGCAAGGGTTTTAACTCTGCATAATGTAATGCCTTTCCAACAGGCATCATAACATAAATAATGCAGTGCCTTTCCAACAGGCGAAATAAATCAGTTGTTGCGCTGTCTTTCCGACAGACAGCTTGAGATGTGACGTTGTTGGTGCACTGTCTTTCCAACAGACAGTTTGTGACGGATGGTTGAGACGTTTCGCAAAGGAAAGAGCTCTGAGGATGGAATCCGAGTTTTTTGCATGAGAATTTATTTGCTTGAAACCAAAACCATAAACAGCTTTTTGCACGAAAACCTCAAAACCAAACAAACATGATTTTGCTGATGTTGTTATTTTTCTCTCAAGGAGAAATCGTTTTGCAAGCCTGACCCTCCGCCGGCAAAGCATGGAGAGGATTGCCAGTTATGTGCAGAGACACGAGCTGGATGTCAGAACCATAACGATCCTTTACGAGCATGGCCACTTGAGTGATGAATTTTCTGAGGTTGGAGAGAGCAAGGCTTCGACTTCTTCACAGGGAAAATCATCAGCTTCGATGCCAGTGAAGCCTGCCAAGGATCTCAAAGTTTTCTATGCCCCTGAGGGAACACAGCCGTCAGCGAAACCGCTGAGGACCGCCAAAGACCTAGGTAATCCAGAGGAGCCAATCATGGTCAGAGGCCTTTCAGAAGATGCTGATGGGATGGCATCAGATGGTTCTCGACAGAGCAGTGAGCCCAGAGTGACTCATGAGAAAGTGTTTCGTGTCGGCCAGGGGAAATCGTACCATGCCGAAACCTGTCATCATTTGAGAAGGGTTGAAACAAAGGGGAACACACCCCTATTCTTATGCAGCTGCATTAAGATTAGAGGGGTTGGTCGTGACCTTGACCTCCATCTTGCCGATGACAGGAGCCTTCATCAAAGCACGAAGTGCCCTCGCTACAAGCCAGTCTTGACGGGTGAGGGAATTCGCCACCACTTTGACCGCTTGCAGTCAGTGTTTTTAGGATGCTGTGAAGGTTGGAATGGTATTCCAGGTGTTCACACACACTGCCTGGATAGTTCAGATGCCGGCCGCATCGAATATGAAGCTCTGATGCATTTGTGCATCCAATATGTGAGCCTTTTTGCATAGTTCAGACATCGGACATGTCGACTTTTGGACATTGGACGTCATAGACGTTGTCAAGATGTTCAATGACTTTCAGTTTGCAACAGTTGTGAGGGGGTTTGGAAATCTACACT